TGTGTGTGACTATATATATATATATATATATATATGTATACACATGTGTGACAGAGATGTGAAACAGAGACAGAGACAAAATCAGGGACAGAGACACACAAACACACACAAGCAAACATACAAAAACAGAAAGAAAGAGACTGGGAATCCAAAACAAGCCAGACGCACCACTTGATCAGGGCTTTGTACGCGAGGGTCTCTGAGGAAACTGACAGACTAGGATGCTGCAGGAGCTTCGTAAGGGCGTCGGCGTTCATCACTCCGATATCCTGTGACGACATGATTTGGTCGGAGGAAGGCGCCAGGACCTGCGAGGGGACGCTTGCTTAACTAAGGAGATAATTGCTTAACTGTGGGGATACTTGCTTATTTCATGGGACACGTGCTTAACTGTGGGGACACTTGTTTGATTATGGGGTAATTGTGTAAGTAAGGAGGTACTTGTTTAACTGTGTGGATACTTTTCAAACTGTGGCAATACTTGTTTAAGTAAAGAGACAATCATTTGTTTGTTTGCTGGGATACTTGTTTACTTTATGAGTTACTTATTTTTCTTAATGAGTTACTTATCTTAATGATGGTATACATGTTCAACGAAGGGAAAACTTGTTTACTTGATGAAATACTTGCTTAACTGAAAGGATACTTGTTTTCTTGATGAATATTTCTTGAATTGAGCAAAAAATTGTTTACCACATGGGATACTTTTTAACTTGTTGGGATTCTTGTTTACTTGTTTAACTGAGAGGATGCTGGTTTACTTCATGAGACATTTCTTTACTTAATGGAACAATTCTTAACTTATCGGAACGTTTCCTAACTTAATAGGATACATCATAATTTAATGGGACACTTCCTTACTTAATGGGACACTTTCTAACTAAATGGGACACCTCTTTACTTAATGGAACACTCCCTTACTTAATGGGACACTTTCTAACTAATGGGACACTTCTTTACTCAATGGAACACTTCCTGACTTAATGGGACACTTCTTTACTTAATGGAACACTTCCTGACTTAATGGGACACTTCTCTACTTAATGGAACACATCCTTATTTAATGGGACAATTCCTCACGTAATGGGACACTTCTTTACTTACTGTAATACTTGTTTTCTTCCGATAGACGAAATAAATTTTCTCACTGCATCATGACTAAAAATATTCATTATCTTCCGCCCAGGGAAGCTTTACTTAAGAAAAATATATTTACGTACATGGATGTGGGATCCGCGTAATTTCATGGCTCACTGGGGCGTCGTCTTGCAAGGGTTTTTGAGCAACATTTAAGTTTATGGTTAATTAAGTACGCATCTTATATAACACTGTAAATACTAAGAAAATAATTTGTTTAGGTACCCCCTCAAAAAAAGAGGAAAAAAAGCGTAAGACCGCTGAATAATTTTTCATTGTCAGAGTGGGCGTATATTAAGGCTGAAATATTTTTTTGTAGTTACTCTTGGTTTAAACTTACCAAAGAACACTTCTCAAGGAGTTTTGTATCTTGTAGAAAGACTGCTGTGTTGTAGACAAAGGGAAAGTTCTTCACGTTAACTTTCTCCAACAAGAACTGCCCGAAAAGTATTAGAGGAAAAAAAAAGTTAAAAAATTTAGAATGGAATATCAACACGTTTATTCCTGGCGACGATATTATATTTTACACCATCGTATTTCTCTTTCCTTTCACACCATAAAACAATATGAAAAAAATAAAAAACGTTACAAATACTACAAGAAAATATACAATAACAAAAAACAAAAAACAAAAAAACAAAAAAAACGTAAAACAAAGAAAAAAAAGAAGATAAAAAAGGAAAAAAAAATCTCACACCATACCTCCGAACACATCCGACACAGCGAATCCATCTTGTACCTGCTCGCCAGCTGGTACACTTGCACCGCCACGCTCACCTCGGGCAGCTTGCTCTTATCTTGGTAAATGTGATCCAAGAGCCATTCAAAGGCCTCGGGAGGATCTTCGGGCCGAACGAAGACGTTGTTCTCGAGAGGATCTTCGAGAAGAGTCTTCAGCACGGGGGAGCTCATGGCCAGAACCAGCCGGTGGACCTGAAGAAGAGGCTGGGTTGGAGGAGGGTTGGGGGAAAGGGGGAGGTGGAGAGGGAGAGGGAGAGGGAGAGGGAGAGAGGGAGAGAGGGAGAGAGGGAGAGAGGTAGAGAGGGAGAGAGGGAGAGAGGGAGAGAGGGAGAGAGGGAGAGAGGGAGAGAGGGAGAGAGGGAGAGAGAGGAGAGAGGAGAGGGGAGAAAGAAGGAAAGAGGGAGAAAGAAGGAAAGAGGGAGAGGGAGGGAGGGATGGAGAGAGGGAGAGAGAGGGAGAGAGAGGGAGAGAGAGAGAGAGGGAGAGAGAGAGAGAGAGAGAGAGAGAGAGAGAGAGGGAGAGAGAGAGAGAGAGAGAGAGAGAGAGAGAGAGAGAGAGAGAGAGAGAGAGAGAGAGAGAGAGAGAGAGAGAGAGAGAGAAGGAAAGAGAGAGAGAAATAGATAGATAGATTAGATAGATAGAGAGAGAAAAGACCGAGAGTGATTTGTTCATCCATCAATATGAACCCCACCTCTCTCCTCAGGCTCACACATACACACTGAAAAGCGAAGCCAGATGAAAGAAAACGAAGAACAAAACAAAAAAAGAAAACGAGGCAAAACTGACCTTGATCGTTCTCGTGTCTCCCGGGAAAGTGACGGTGAGGTCCGAGAGTTGGCCGGACTTTCGTAGAAAACATATTCGACTCTTCACATTGGACTTTTTGCGCTGCCATGGCTTCTCCGGGTCGTCCTCCTCGTCCTCCTCCTCTTCTTCCTGTTCTTCTTCATCTTTATGTGTCTTCTCTGTAGGCTGCTGGTCATTCATGACGGTCTCCAAGAAAGAAGAGTGATTATAAATTTCTTGGCAATTTTTTATGTAAGAAAGGAAAAAAAAAGACGCAGAAACAAACACATGCACAAACATATAGATACGGACACAAACACACACGACCACGTGCACGTAAGCATATATATTCACACACACACACATATATACATATACATGCATATGTATAGACATATATGTATGTATATATGCATATATACATGTATATATGTATGCATGTAAATATACATATATACATGAGTATATACATACATACAGACACACACACACACATATATATATGTATGTATGTACATACACATGTATATATATATATATATATATATATATATATATATATATATATATATATATATATTTATATATATATATATATATATATATATATATATATATATATATATACATATATAGCTATATATATACATTTGTATATACACATGTATGTGTGGGCGTGTGTATGTATGTGTGCGTGCGTGCGTGCAAAGGCATAATGCATTTAGTCTACTCCATCATCAAAACGAATGCTACTTGCTTTTCCTGCAATCCTGTTTTATTTTGGGAAATAACAACGAATTCGCCTTTTTTACTCAAGAAGACAGTTGACATATTTCCTAAGGTTCTTTTTCCCTGGGAATTTTTTTGCGTGCACGGTGCAATATCTGCAACACGTCATGTCACAAGATCCTGTCGTGCTCCGTGTGCCCGTTTGAGCAAAAATGGGCGAGTGATTTGAACATGCGCATCTGCCTTCAATACTCTTAATGGATTCGGGAAACTACCTCTTATCATCCCTCCTTTAATATTAACACGTGTATTCTGTACAGTTTTATCGTAATCTGTAAACTCTTGACCATTATCTACAGCCCAGGCAACACATGGTCAAGAAAGCCAAGCTTAATTCGTTCGTTATATTCAGATCCCTTGGACACGTTTCATAGCATACTCGTAGAATGATGATATATCATACGTTCCGTAAGTGGACCAATATTTTTACAAACATTGATAAAACTTATCTATATTTGATGATTAACTCTTTTTCTCACTATAGTACCCCCTAATGGAAGCTGCCTTGCCGCTGTGTGTGTGTGTGGGGGGGTTGAGGTCCCAATGATCTGGTGAGCCGGACCAGAGGGCTACCCATACTGGAGGGGTCACCAGTGAGGGATGGGACAAAATGGCTTCCTGGTGCATCAAGCCCTATGAGAGGGGATGGGGCACCCACCCCTGGTTCATTCCAGCTTGGACCAGGGACAACTCTCCCACGTGTATTTCCCATGCGTGGCGTCCCGTATTACCAGGAGACAGGAGTCCTGGAGGTTGAGCGATGCGGCGCCCTGCAGCTAGCAACACACACAATAAATCAGGTACTGCAGTGGGCAACATACCATGGGTTCAAATTCTCTCTAAGCAAGACTATGGCTATGTATTTCCACAAACGAGGAAAGTTCCATCCTTCCCTCTATTTAGAAGCAAACCCACTGCGTTTCGTCCAAGAGGTGAAGTACTTGGGTCTAATTTTTAACTCAAGGCTTACATGGGTGCCTCACATTAAACAGTTAAAGGTGAAAGCTACAAAAGCGCTTAGTATTTTGCGGGTTCTTTCACACCTATCTTAGGGTGCAGACCGCACAACGCTTCTGCGGCTTTACAGAGTGCTTATTCGTAGTAGACCAGACTACTGTATGGCTATGAGGTTTATTCATCTGCAGCTCCCAATTCTCCAGATGGTGGACTCAGTTCATAATGAAGCTTCAGAATCTGTACAGGGGCTTTCAGGTCGTCATCCTGTATGCTGAGGGTGGAGAACCACTTCTTTCATTACACCGACTACATGAACCTGATTTACTACACGAGACTACAAAGGATTCGGGAATCTCCTACATCCATGTTAGTTTTCAACCTCCATAAGGATAGCCGATCCTATGGCAGGAGAATGAGGAATCTCGTGGAAGGTCTATATTTAAATCTGACTAAGGTTCTGACTGTTAGAACTCTCCCCCCTCCCCTTGAACCAATCAAATTGAGCTGTATTTCATTGGAATTAGGAAAGGGGAAATATTTTAAAATAATTAACAAATCTCACTGTATTATTACACGCGACAAACTTATAT